ATAGAAATGTTTTAGTCATAGATTAAAATTATTGATTCAATAAAGTATTAGCATGATTGCTGAAAAAAAAAAAAAAAGTATTTACTTTTTAATTTTCTATACAAATTTGTCTGAAATATGATCTAAAAAATACTGAACTATGCTAAATACTATGTTAAATATTATGCTAAATACTATATTAAATACTATACTAATATTATACTAAATTATACTAAAAGATTATGCTATATAAGCAGATTTAACTTATCAAAAATAATAATTCAGAAAATAATTTATATATATTTTTTGTAATAAAATATATAACATAATATAAAATTTACTTAGCTAACCAATTAGATTTATTATATAATAACTATTGTGATTTACATTTAATTTAAATAAAAAAATAAATCAACAAGATAAATTATCTAATAAAATCAATAATTTTTATATCTAATTACTAAATTATTATATTGAAATCTACTTGTATTAAATTTGCTTATATATTGAACTATGCTAAACTATACTAAGTATTATGCTTTATACTATATTAGACTATTAATAGATATCACTTATCTGTTACTTATACAAATACTTAAATAATACTTACATAGATACTTACATAATACTTTGATAATACTTATATAATGCTTGCTAAAAGATATAAATACAAGTAACTTTTCTTCTCTTATCTTTTAGTTGTTTAACCCTTAACTCTCTCCTTCTCATTTAGACTCTAACTTAAATATATCTAATTAAACTACTTTTTGTAAAGTAGAATTTATCTTTACAATTAGCTAAAAAAAACTATTTCTTAAAATAATTTGATAACTATATTGCTATTACTTATAGTGTACTAAAAAGGCTACACTATCTGTAACAATATATATATAAAACTCATTTTATAATAATATGGAAGCTTGTCAATAGAAAAGGCCTAAATCTGTTTTAATAAAATTTTTTTTATTTTCAAATTAAAATATCTCAATAATAATCTTATCAAATTTAATAAATTTTTTTTTATTTTAAATCTATAACTTATTAAAATTAAAATAAAAAAAAATTTATAAGATTTGCTTTAATAGTTATTAAAATATTTTATTCTAAACTTGAGAAAATATTTACTTAGAAAATTTTTAGACCTTTTCTATTGACAAGCTCCCATATGTAAAAATATTTATTTTTTTTATAATAAACAACTTCAAGTTAATTCAGAGTATCTATAATATAAACCTAATAACATTAAGCCTCTACTTCATTATAAACATTGGTAAAAAGAATCAAATATAAAAGAAAAAATAATATCAGATTTGCCATTATCATATAACAAGAAATTGAAGCAATGGATTAAATAACAAAGAAATCTGTAAAAACCAAGCAGATTATATTCATGTGGCTGGCATAGATCTTGAAGTTCATACCTTTCTCACTTTGTACTCACTAACGGTCGGTCATGGAAATTTTGTAGATAATGACATTAGGTCTAGCCCTTGCTCTAGATGATCTTATTTCACGCACCACCAGGGCACTAGCAAAGAAGCGTAATTCTATAAAAAATGCCCAAGCTCGCTTAAGAAAACGAATGCAAAATCTAATAAACGAGGTCCATAAGAAAGCGCATAGTGGTTAGCACGAACTTTCGATATAATGCTACCAACATTTGGTAGCACACGAATGTCCAATTGAAAAAATAGGATTAGGAGTAAAATGGTTCGGCAGATAATGAATTGGGCACATGCTAGGTTCAGGAAGCGGTTAGTGTCAAAAATGGAGGAATTTGGCAAGATTGTTATAACATCTGTGTCAGAAGCGTATACGAGCAAAACATGCAGCCGTTGTGGGCTTATTAAAATGAATTTGGGTGGGAATAAGCGATGGGTATGGACTTTGAATTAATCAATAGTAAATGACGCCCGGGGGATTTTCCTCCGGACATTGCCTTAGTTATGCTAATTGATTAGTTGATCGGTGAAGCGTTAGATATAATGATGAATTTTTATATACAAGCTGCAAACATTTTAGATAAAATATTAGCACGCAAGGGTACTATTAAAAGTCTTACACTAGCCGATGGTGTTAAGGAAAAGAAAAAGACATATGCGTTGATATGTGAGACTTTGAAATGTAAGATTGATTGTAGAATTTTTTCGTAATGTAAGGTTTTTTTGAGAATTTATTCAAAATATTCTTAAATAACTCAACTCTAATAATTATTACTTTTTAATTATAAGATAAGAATGTAATCAATACAATTATGGATAATTGTCGATTATTTGATGTCGAGAAAAAGGTTGTTCAATTGGACGATCTGTTTTTTGTCATCATTTCAAAGAACACCAACTAAACGTTATTTTTTCTATTTTTTTTGATTATATATGATAGCTTCCAAGAAATATCGCAATGCTTTTAATTCATGATCTCTTATTTTCTCCGAATGGAATTAAGTCTTTATCGAATGGGCCGTATAAACAAGCAATTTTACGACACGAGATAAGATTAAGAGCAGAGCTTGCTAGAATTAAAATTAAGCTGAAGATTAAAAACAATGAAGATTTAATAAAATCTGAAATTCTAGAGTTAAGTATGTGTTAAAAATAAATTTAAAATAAATTTCAAATAGATAAATTTTCAAAAATGGATTGCTTTCTAATTAAATATTATCTTGACCTAGTTGTAATTCCACGATATGTCCGTGTCAATACACTTAAAACATCAGTTGATAAGGTTATAAAACATTTTCAAGCAAAAGGGTTTACTCATGAAGAGCCAATTGATGATTTGACGAACGTAGGGTAGTAAAAATAATACCTAAAGACATATTTACAATTTTAGAGCATTTTAATTCCATGATCTAATATTTTCTTGAATAAAAGCCCGAAGACAATTCGAAGAGATAAGCATTTGCCTGATCTTTTAATATTACCATCAAATACGGATCTTCATGAAGATTCACTATACTTATCTGGCGACATTATTCTTCAGGTATTTGCTTTATACTTTTATTTTTAATTAAATTACAGCTGTGGAAGTTTATATTCATCATTTTTATCTACGCATATAGGACAAAGCTTCATGCATTCCCGCATTTATTTGCTCACCACCTTCCAATTCACATGTGATTGATGCATGCGCAGCACCTGGAAATAAAACTTCACATCTATCGGCCATAATGAAAAATACAGGAAAAATATGGGCTTTTGACCTTGATAAATCTAGACTAAATTTGCTTAAAAAGTTGACACAAAAAGCTGGGTGTAAAAGTACATAAATACATCGGTTATTTATAATAATATTTTTTTTCCGCCATCGAACTTATTAATCACAAGTTACAATTGATTTATAGATATTGAAGCTATTCATGAATCTTTTTTAGATGTTGACCCTTTGGACCAAAAGTATTCTAGTGTAGGTTATATTTTACTTGATCCATCATGCTCTGGATCAGGAATTATAAATAGATTAGATCATTTGATCGATTCATCTGGTTTGTATTATGTATATATCTCTCATGTGAAATTATTCATGCTTTTCGGGCACAGAGAAATCAACTTACTTTATATTTAACTACCGATTTAATTAAGAAACTCAAGAACAGTCGGACCATTCACACAAATTAAAAGAACGTCTTGAGAGTTTAAGTGAATTTCAAGAAAAGATAATTTTACATGCGTTTAAATGTAATATAATTAATATCACATTTAATATTTACATTTTTCGTTTACTTTGTATTAACGATTATTTATATTCCAACACAAAAAATAGTTCATTCTGTTCAAAAAATTGTATACTCTACATGTTCAATTCATGCAGAAGAAAATGAACATGTTATTAAACGCGCCCTAGATCAAACCGATCATTTTGTTTTGGCTAACAAGGACGTTATGATGCCATCATGGCCGAGGCGTGGTATTTCAAATGAAATAAACGATGAAGGTTGGTTAAAAAATAATCTTTAGCTGAAAAAATCCCTAATCCAATTTTTTATATTAATCAATGGTATATTATGATATATTTTAAATTATCAGGGGCTGCAGAAAAATTCATTCGTACGAGTCCAAATGAGGATTATACAAACGGTTTTTTCGTTGCATGTTTTGTTCGTAAAGCCACACAATATAAAAATACCAAGACCGTTTCTAAGAAACGAAAACGTAATGAAGATAACATGATAATCAAAGTTAGAGATGATGATGAATGGAAGGTTAGTATTTTGAAGGATGATTCATTGTACAAAAAAGCCAACAAAAATAAATAATGGAATGAAAGGAAAAAGGACAACGATTTCTCGATTAATTAACCAAGATCATGGTATTTATTCGTATATTCACCAAAGTTAGAAAATAATACAAACTATAAATCTAACCCTAGTAATAGTTTTTTATGTCAATTACTTATCAAAAGACTTTTTGAAATGAATTTATATTGCAATAAATAAAATTTCATAACAATAAACCTATCAAAATGTTATCAGTAACTGGTTTAAAACATCTGAAACCAATTTTCTAGTACGGTTATCTCTAGTTTCAACCTTAATATTGTTACCATCCAAAGAGATAACAACCTTTGGAGAGTCAACATAAATGGTACACTTTCCAGTTTTTGTATCATCCTCCAATGTAATAAGGCAACCATACTATAGTAAACGACATATTATTAGTGAGCATATATATTATAGTATAATTTTTCAATTCGAAAATATTACTTACCAACTGCTCAGTTAATTTATCTATTAAGTTCGGTATATTAATATTTCCGATCACATATGTTCGTTTTAATATTTGACTATTTGCAGAAGGAACTAAGGAGGATTGATTATTATATGTTTTGAGATTTGCATATAATGCAGCAATTTTTGTTTCTCCGATGTTTGTTGTATATATTTCAGACGCTAGCTATGTGAATGTAATAAAAATTTTTAAGATCCAAGAATATTTTTAAAAATGAATATATAAATAAAAGACTTACTTTTTCTGTCATAAAAGTTCTCTTATATTGCGAATTTACAGATATATTAATAATGTCTAAATGTTCGTACAATGTAATCAATGAAGATGGTATTTGTCTTCGTATGTCATCTACATTTTTTACAACTTTGTGTGGGAACAATACTTCTCGAGGTCGCGATTCTTTAATCATTTCGACTACTTGCTCAACTGTAAGGCGAATATCGATCGGAATATGCATGGTTTTAATTTGCAAACCATCAAATGCCGAAATAGTTTCCTTAAAGTTGAACTCTGATTCTAAAATTATTTACTCTATAGTAAGTAGATATAAGTAATAAATAATAAGAAAATTTTGTCAAAATTTGATGAATACCTATGAAAATGATAGCATTGTTTGGATTATTTCCCCATTTTTTAATAAAATTAATTACTGCACCACTTCGCAAGGAAGAGTGTCCCGCAAAAACCACACATGGTTCTTGATATATTTCTTGGAGAGAACTATCAGCACGAGCGGCGTAGTATAACAGGTTCTTATCAAACATATCTTTATGAACCATCGGATTCTCTGGGATATACATCCGTAACTGTCTTTCTTCACACATCCTTGAATAACAGATTTTGAACGTGTTAAACGTTTCTCAAATATTTATATTTCTAGTATTAAAAACTTGGTTGATTCATACCATTCACCTGAAATAAATGAATATTTAAGCGATTCTTCCGCTATGGGGGAAATTGCATAAAATGGAACACCATCAAGTCCTCTGGAATTTAAATGCCTTCCAAGGTAATCAAGTACATCAAACATTATGCCATTCAGAACACAAGGAAATAAGACATTTCCCTTATTTGCCAAAACATCCCCTAAAAACATATTTTTTGTTATAAAAATATTATGAATATACTGTAGGTTAAAAATTATAGAACTATAAAAAACCTGCATAATTTCCGATATTATGTAAAATTGGTAAAATGGATTCCAATCTAAAGTCATTTTCATTATGAGAATCGCACAAATCGCTCAATATAATGACATCAACATCATCCAATACAGATTTGCTAAATGGTAATGGATGAATATCATTTATTATAGAAGAGGAGGATATCATCGCAATCTATTAATTAAATATTTATACTGAGTACAAAAATGATGATAAGAACAATATTAATTATTAATAGGATTTATTTACCTTTTCAGTATCATTGATTATAGACCAATTAGCACTGCCTAAACAATACCCAGCGCTATGTGCAGTAACTTTAACTTCATATAAATCCTATAATGAATGTAATATATTAGTAAAATAAAACAGTAAAAATAATAACAAGCTAGAAATTAATTATACACACAAGATTTTCACCATATCTGACAGGCTGGATTTTATCAACGCATGATTGTACATCTGACATTGAATATAGTGATTGTGCCAAGTTATTTTCATCGGTAAAACCGTAAAAGATATTTGATTTTCTAGAAAGTAATAAATAAAGTAAAATGACAAGCACCAATTTTATAAATGCAAAGAATAACAATGATAATTATGGTAAATACTCGGATTTGGCTTGCATACGATGTCGAGAGGAGCCTGGAACCGAACTTTCACCAAAAAAGTGTACTAATTCTTTCATCATTTGGCTAAAAAAAAAAAATTAATAAAAAAGTATTAAAACATTTAAAAAGAAACACATTTTTAAATCATATAAAGGATGAAATGAAAACACACATTCAACAGTTACCGTCCAAATATAACCGTAGGCTCCGTTGCATAAATCTTTCCTTTAAATTCCGAATATTCAGTTATATAAGGTAAAGCAAGCATATTTTTATAATTTGTAATTAATATAAAATCTATAGATTTCCAATCAACGCTCGAAAACACTGGAGTCTCTACGTAGAATTGACCCCGAGATCGACGCGTGCCTCCATTAGTTTGATCATCCAATTTTATTCGTTTTGGTTCATTATCAATTATCATAGGATCAGAAGAATTGTTTGTGGTATCGTTTTCTGTTGGCATAGGTTGGGCACGAGTGCCTAAATTGTCACGAGGTAAAAATTTTACTAAGCCAGATATATTAAGCCCACAATCAATTATGAAATTCATTTGCTTCAACTTGATCAAGAAGCAATTTGATCGAAGGTTTCGGCTTAAAGGGTGCTTGTAGCGTTTAAATAAAAATAATAAATAACAATTTGGAATAGCATAAATTAGGGCTTGTTTTCGCAAGATATATATAGTAGGCTTACCAATTTCATTGTTAAGTATTTAATCTTTTTAATATTTGGAAGCGATTTCAAATATTAAAAAACGAAGACCAAATTTTACATCGCAGATGTTATACTTAATTGTGATTGGCTGCTTTTCCCAAATTCTAATTTAGCAAGTCAAATGTTAAACCGAGCTTAACCGGTTCCAAACTCTAAATTAAAACGATATGTTAAAGCGATTATGTTATTAACGGCAGAAAAAAATCGCCGAAAACCAAAACAATTGCGCTTAACGAAAATGATTTTTTTTTTTTACTAGGTGCACGATTGCATGATAGGAATTAGGGATGTTATCCTGCTTAAACCGGTTAGTTCGTGCTTTGAAACTCGAACTAACACTGTTCGGAAACAGAAACAAACACTGAGTTTAAAACTTTGCTTTGAACTTGTTTGTATACATGTACTATAAATTATGCTTCCTAAACATGTTAGTTTGAACTCGTGTTTATTATAAAATAAA